AACCATTACTGTTGAAATCCATATCTATACGAGACCACAAATCATGTCTAGCCGAGTAATATGTGAATTGTTTCGTAGAGTAGTTTCTTATTCTCCAAGCATCCACCAAATTTAGTTCTGTCAGTAAATATTCTAGATTTCTTGGCATTTCCGTCTTCCTTTTCTTCTTCTTCCCACTCATCTGTTTATCTTTTTCTTCATCAAAGATTGTATTAAAATCTCCCAGCAGGCAAATATTTTGGCAGTCTTGTCCAACAATAAGTTCATGAAGTTCCTTATAAAATTTCTCTTGGTCTTGGTTTTTTTACTACTAAAATCTTTTTCTCCTGATTTTGGATTTCCACCATCAGAATTCTCCCGTCATCTGAAGCATATACATTTTCGGGGAATAGACTTTCTTTAACTATTGTCACCACTCCTCTCTTCTTTTCCCCTGTATCTGAAGCTATAAATGTTTTCCCCAATTTTCTGTTTTGTAAAAATTTCTCATCCTTTTTACGAATATGTGTTTCTTGCGGGCAAATGACATCTAATTTCTGTTTACCTAATTGGTGAAATATCCTTCTTCTTTTTTGCGGTCCATTCAGTCCATTCACATTCACAGATAATATCTTGATTTTCCCTTTATCCATCACTCCTTCCATTCTGTTGTTGCCCTTTTCGCCTTTATCCATTGCCGTGTTCCAATTGGGGATTTCCTTCGAGCGGCCAGTATCCTTTTCTCTTTAGGTTTGAGATCGGTTCCTGCTCCTTTTTCCTGTGGGTCCTCTTCTTTACTCTCCTCTTCCTCTTCCTCCTCTTCTTCCTCCTCCTCTTCCATTCCAAGTTCTTCACCATGCATTTCTAAAAAGTCTTCTAGTTTAAAAATGGATGTAATCCAATATTTTTTCCCTTGGTAGGTGAAAACCAGACCCTCGGGGAGTAATTATCTGTATTGAATCTTGTTTTCCCTCAATAGCCCTGATAGTTTGGAGTATTCTCTTCTCTCTGACTCTCCATGGAATCTCTTTCAAGACTTTTATTTCCACTTCATATTTCTTTAGCGGTTTAGTGTTAACTTCTCTCAAAATTTTGTCTCTTGCCATCCTCTTATAGAAGCGTACCTGTACCTCTCGTGAAACTTTCATCCGCCTTGCATAAGCTGAATTCATTCTAAATACTTGGTCAAACTCTTTTTCCACATCCTCTTTTTCCATGTTCATATGGTCTGCCAACAGCTTGGCCATCTTTCTTGAAAGATCTTCATTATATTCTTCTGGAATGTTCTGAAATCTTAACACATATGCCGCTTTCTCCACCTGCAGTCGTATTAGTTCTTGCTCATATTCTGTTTATCTTCAATCTTTCTTGTATCCTCTTCCACTGCTTTGGTCCTCTTCTCTGTCCTCATTGTTTTTCTTCAACTCTGCTATTTCTTTTGAGTTTTCAGCCACCTATTTTTGAATGCTTTGCATACTATTTGTAAATTGTTCTGTTATTTGTGTGATTTGGCGTAATATTTCTCCCATCTGGCCTTTGAGTGGATCGACTGCTTCTGCCACCATACTATGCATTTCTTTCTGAACAGGTGCTGCTAATTTGCTGACAGGTGATGACTGCGGGGTTTTGGTAGTCTGAACAGTCTTAACATTCGACATTTTGCTGTTTTATTTTTTTGGGCTTTGTACCAGTTCCCAAACGGTTTCACTGTTGCCACTTTTGTTTACTATTTTGCTTTCAGTCTGGCTTTCTTCCCAGACCTGTTTATCTCTATATTTGGTTTAAGCCCAATTCTGGTTCACTGCCCAGTGCTGGAAAGTCACCACTGTCCCTTGGCTGAACGCCTAGACCTTTGTTTTCCAACTTTTTAATACACAGCCTCACTCCAGTTGGGGGGGGGGAGTTTAATTTAAAACCATCAATAGTCAATAGTCAATTGTAGGCAATTTTAAACATAGCAAACACTTTTATTCTTTCTCAGTTCAGTGCTTTCACCCCACAAATCGTAATGGGCCTCCTGCCCCTCTCCTGAGGGAGGGAAAAATTGAGATCGGGGTAACAGTGGGGACTTACTATTTCTTTAACCATAAACAAGTCTTAAAGCAATTCAGCTCCCAAAACTCCATTCTCTGTCAATTTCAGCTTGCTCTTCTATTAGATGCTTATTGGTATTTTGCCCTGCTCATTCCCCTCTACTCTGCCAAAAAGCCGCCGGAGTTTGGGATGTTCTCCCTCGTTTTTGGCCAGTTGAATAGAAATGGTGAGAAATTCCAGTCTATTGAGGGGCTACCAATAACGACAGTCTTTGCTTTGAGAACACAGATCAATTTCATTAACTCACAGTTATGCGCTTGTGTGACGACCTCTTATCTGGGGAGGTCTGGTTTCCCTTTAAAAGGGTTCTTATGTTTTATTTTCCTATGGGTATCTGGCTGCCACCAGGAATATTTTAGGCTTTCCAAACCTTTATACTTACTGTTTCTGGTTTTGGTATTGTGACCCAGGGTCTTGCCTTTTGAGGGACTATGTGTTTCCAGAGGAATAATGGATCAGGCTTCTGGGATAAACTTAAATAAAAAGGATTTATTTGAAGAGGAACAAAACTAAAGGTTGGATATTATGTAACTGGCTGGGAATAAGGTTCTTGTAACTATATCTGTCAGCTGTATCACACACTCTGTCAGTTTTAGTGCTGACAGGAATCTCTTACTTAGGCAACCACACAGTTTAATCTCTTTGTAAATTTAACTGCTTTCAGAACTTTAAAAATTCCTTATTGAAGATATATGCTGCGCTCTCTCTCAGATATCATACAGAACAAAACTCATATTAACTGCTTTTACACAGCACTCTCTGCTGACTGACTAACTGTTTAGCTGTCATAATTCTTAACAGTCACTCCTGATAGACATACAAATCATCCACACAGCATCCCTTCCAAAACCCCTCCCCCTCTTTGTCACTCACCAAGCATATCACTTGCTTGAGTCCAGCACTCTAGATTATCCTCACACAGCCATGCCAACCAAACTTTTAAACACACACACACACAGTAAAACATAGAATCGTTACAGCTTGACTTAAAGATCTCCGCTTGCCAGCCTCCCAGTTCATGGTAGTGACAGCTCTACCCACCACCATTGGTTTCTGCCTCCAGTTTGCTTTGGAGCGAGCCAAATAGGTCTCCCAGCAAGTTGCCTTCTCCCTGGTACCTAAGCTCAAGCCCCCCGCCCCCCACTGCTCCTGCCCCAGAGCATGGGGTAGTCTCCAATGATCAGAGACCCTTTAAATCCAAGGGAAAGATCGCTCGCTCGGAGCTCAGCTCTCGAGCGACCGCTGGCGCCGCGCTGCAGCTGCATCTCTGAGTGGTAGAGTTTCATAGGCTTCTCGCTAACAAAAAAATGGTTCATGGAGGCTCTTGGGTCGTGAATTCGAGCCCCTCTCAATTGATCCTCTCTCTTCCTCTCCAGCCGCTGACATTGGGGTGGGGATCAGCGGGCAAGAAGGCATGCAGGCAGTCCAGTGCAGCGACTACGCCCTGGCGCAGTTCCGCTACCTGCAACGGCTCCTCTTTGTCCACGGCCGATGGTCTTACCTACGCATTTGCAAGTTCCTCCGGTATTTCTTCTACAAGACGTTTGCTGGCATGATGGCACAGATCTGGTTTGCTTTCTACACCGGCTTCACTGCCCAGGTGACTCTTTTTCTCCCCCCCCCCTAAAAAATTGTTTACAATTGAGGTATTTTGATTCTGCTGTTCTGAGCAGGTACAGCTTAGTGCAGGGGTGTCAGACATAAGGTCCGGGGGCCAGAACCGGCCCATCTGAGGCTCTTATGCAGCCTGCGAGCAACTAGTGCGAGGGAGGGAACAGGAGACTACTCAGGGGGGAGTGGTCAGAGCCACTTTGATTGTGACTTCAGCACGGCAGAACAACCCCATCTGTCAAGCAGCGTGGGAGCGTCTGCCCCGTGCTGCCCCACTGGCTCTCCAATCTGCCCACATGAGTTTTCCTTTGCACCCCCCTCCCAGCCCATGAGGCCTTGCAGTGAGGATACACCAACTCACAGCTTATCAGCTGCATGTCCTTTATACAGTTTATATCTCCGGTACCTGGCATTACGTTTATGGCACACGTAAACACAGGGCTTTTTTGTAGAAAAAGTCCAGCAGGAACTCATTAGCATAATTGGCCACACCCCAAAACAGAAACTCATTAGCATATTAGGCCACAGCCCTGAAAGCACAGCTCATTAGCACATTAGGCCGCACCCCCATGTTACCAGAAGTGTGGTCATCCAGCCACACCCACCTTTTGCTTCTTATTCTGTTTACCTTGTTTGTTGTCAAAACCCAGGGCCTTTTTTTGTAGCAGGAACTCCTTTGCATGTTAGGCCACACACCCCTCATGTAGCCAATCCCAATGAGTTTCTACTGCTGGGTGTGGCCTGTTATGCTAATGAGTTCCTGCTGGGCGTGGCCAACTTGGGAGCTAGCCGGAACTCCGTTCCTGTGCGTTCCTGCCCAAAAATAGCCCTGTGTAAATGTATTGCCAGGTACCAGAGATATAGGCTGAATCTGCATTTGTCTTTCCCACCGGTGTCCCATCCTTTTGACTCCATCTTCAAAAAAGCTATCTACATCTGGTGTCGTTTTCACACCTCAAGAGTGCTAGCATACTTTTGCACGTCCACATATGTTTATCATCCTTTCAGGGTGGCTCCACTGTCATGGCACCTCTGCACTGCTTTAAAAGAAACTTCTCCAAACAACATTCAAACAAGCATAGAGAAAGACGGCGTCACAGCAGCATGAAACTGATTTAAAAATGCAAATGCAGATTCGACCATAAAGTGATCCGGCCCTCGTAACAAATGAGTTCGACCTCTCTGGCTTAGTGTTTCGCATGTAAGCATGTAAGCGTTTCGCAAACCAGGAAGCCCCGGATTCAGATATCTCCTTAGTCACAAAAAGCATCTTGAGGACAGTTTTCACGACCTGTCGTTTGTAACACAGGGAAGCCAATACTGGGCTCCTTTTCCGGGCTGCTGTAAGGATTACTGATAATGTAGCTTCAACTCAAATGGCGGTCATCGTGTCCAAGGAGCAGCTTTCGTCTAGACTGCAGAGGCCAGAAGGAAATAAGGGACCAAAACCAGGATCTGGGCATGATAGAAAGATGCCTGGCTGCTTCCGCTTTTCCTTTAGGTGTTAATTGTCCCCTAGGAGGCAGGAACTCTCAGCGGCAGCTGCCTCCAGACATGAATGAAAGGCACCTGGCTGCTTTCTGTCCACCCTCTGATGGCCCCACAAGTGGTCGTTGGAAGCTGGGGGGGCACATCTTGGGGTTTAAGCTGGGCTGCTGCTTCCTCCACTATAACGGGCTCCCAACTGCCCCTGGGTCCCTCAGGACAAGGGCCTTTTCCATGGTTGCCCCCTCTGTCCGGAACCAGCTTCCTGGGGAAGTTCGTGCCCTGTGGAATTTTCCAGCATTCCATAGGGCAGGGGTGTCGCACTCATTTGTTACGAGTGCCGGATCTGACATGAATGAGACCATTTTGGGCCAGGCCATGTGTGTCATAAAATGTAATGCCAGGTAGTGGATATATAAACTATATAAAGGACACAAACACATGCTTAAAACATTAGCAATATTTTGTCTATTTAACTGTGTCTGATAACGGACCCCTCTTGCTCTGAATGACTGCATCAAAATGTCTGTGCTGTTGCAATCTTGAGTATGCTGTTCAGGTGTGTATCTGTAAGCTGCAAACCTACGACGGCGCAGCAGCAGCAGAACTGGAAGCAGAAGCAGAAGACAGCCAGTTCCACTGCGGGGCTGATAGAAGCCCTCTGGGGGCCTCATCCGGCCCCTGGGCCGCATGTTTGACACCCCTGCCATAGGGCATGTAAGGCTACTTTGTTTCAGGTAGCCTTTGGTTAGTGTTATGAACCAGGGAACTGGCCAGTTGTTTCATTTCTTCAGAGTGGCTTGTTGTTAAGCTGATGGGTCAGTTATTATTATTTTTATTACATAAATCAAGTGTCCGTTAGTTTTATTGTTCTCTCAGCTGGAAGCCGGGCGTCCATTTCTTAATAGGTCACATGAACAAATTAAGTGATGGCCAGTTCAGTGAGGGACGCCTCCGTGTGGCTCCGCCCTGCTCTCAATTGCCACCCTCTGTTCTCTCTTGCCTTGCAGCCCCTGTTTGAAGGTTGGTTCCTGGCTCTTTACAACGTCTTCTACACTTCTTACCCAGTGCTCTGCATGGGGATGTTTGAACAGGTAAGGCAGGGCTGGCCTCCACAATTCGACAGCTTGAAATAAGGACACCTGTGTATTGATGAGACACCCCTGGTCTCCCCCCACCCAACAATTGGTCCATGTTTCTGGAGACTGTGTTTGGCCTGCAGCGGGCGGCATTAGTTTTCCGCGGCAAGGCTGAAGAGGCAATGCAGGGTTAGCAAGGAGGGTGCTGAACGCGGTGTGTGTGTCCAAATCCGCTCTCAGCTGCAAAACTACCTGGGTGAACTTGGGCCAGTCGCTCTCACTGAGCCTAAGCTACCTCGCAGGGGTGTCGCGAGGGGAATGATTTATGCCTCTCTGGGCTCCTTAGATGGCGACAGAATAAAAATTAGAAAGATGGATGGATCCTTGCGGAGTGGGCGGGGGGGACGTTTTTAGTTCATTAAAAAATGGCGAAGGGCAAACTTGTGACTGATACAATAATGGCATCTGCTTTTTTTTAAAAAAAAGGCATCCCAGCTAAGGCATTCTTGATTGAGGAAATGGTATGGTGGAGAAGAGGGGAACTTCCTTTCCACAGGTCCGCCCCCTCCGGATAGGCATTGTAGAGCCAAATCACACTTTTAGGGCCAATTATGTTCTTTGACCGGTGGGGTTGATTAAGAACATAAGAGAAGCCAATGTTGGATCAGGCCAATGGGCCCATCCAGTCCAACACTGTCACACAGTGGCCAAAAATACCAGGTGCCATCAGGAGGTCCAGCAGTGGGGCCAGGGCACTAGGAGCCCTCCCACTGTTGCCCTCCACCCAAGCACCAAGAATACAGAGCATTACTTGCCCCAGACATAAGAACATAAGAGAAGCCAATGTTGGATCAGGCCAATGGCCCATCCAGGCCAAAACTCTGTCACACAGTGCCCAAAAATACCAGGTGCCATCAGGAGGTCCACCAGTGGGGCCAGGACACTAGAAGCCCTCCCACTGTTGCCCCCCCCCCAAGCACCAAGAATACAGAGCATCCCTTGCCCCAGACAGAGAGTTCCTGTCTATATCTTGTGGCTAAGAGCCCCGGATGGACCTCTGCTCCATATAAGAACATAAGAGAAGCCAATGTTGGACCAGGCCAGTGGCCCATCCAGTCCAACACCCTGTCACACAGTGACCAAAAAATATCAGGTGCCATCAGGAGGTCCAGCAGTGGGGCCAGGGCACTAGAAGCCCTCCCACTGTTCCCCCCCCCAAGGACCAAGAATACAGAGCATCACTTGCCCCAGACCGAGCATTCCTATCTACACCTCTGGCTAATAGCCACGGATGGACCTCTGCTTCATATGCTTATCTAATTCCCTCTTGAAGCCGTCCATGCTTGTAGCTGTCGCCAACTCCTGTGGCAGTGAATTCCACGTGTTCATCACTCTTTGGGTGAAGAAGTACTTCCTTTTATCCGTTCTAACCCGACTCCTTAGCAATTTCATTGAGTGCCCACGAGTTCTTGTATTGTGAGAAAGGGAGAAAAGTACTTCTTTCTCCACCTGCTCTATCCCAGGCATACTCTTATAAACCTCGATTGTAGTAGTATATGATAGAGGTTGATCAGATAGGGCAACAAGGTCTCCCACTCTGGCGGGAGACCTCCCACTGGCTGTGGTCTTTGCCCACCATCACTTTCACCATGGAGTTTCCATGAGGGTTGCCAATCTCCAGGTAGTGGCTGGGGACCTCCTGGGATGACAACTGATCTCCGGGCAACAGCGGAAATGGTTCCATCTGGAGAAAATGGCTGCTTTGGAAGGTGGACTCCATGGCTATATACCCTACGGAGGTCCCTCCCCTCCCCAAACCCCACTCTCCCCAGGTTCCACACCTCCAGGTTTTTCCCAACCTGGAACTGGCAACCCTAATTTCCTGAGATTCCTAGAGCTAACCTACATCCACATCTGGATATACCCCAGGAGTGATATAGTGACACACTCTGGGTGCGTTCAGACGGGGCGTTTGGAACCGGTACAGTTTATGCCGGCTGAAACGCGATCACACTTACCTCCTGTCTGCGGAGCCCATCGCTGTATGCCCATTCACACACAGCGGGTGTCGGCGGTTTTTTTTTTTTTTAAACACAGTTTGTGCATGCGCATAGGCAGCCATCCACAGAATGGCGATCTTCACGCATGCGCAAAACACCCCGTCTTACATTTAAAGTTTAAAGGTAAGGACTTACCTTTAAAGTTTAAAGACCAAACTGGCCTCCCTGAGGTCCCGGAGTCCTCCAAAACCTTAAACTAAGGACCTATTCTTTTTTTAAAAAACAAACGCCGGGGCGAAGCTTCGCCCAAGCGCATATCGCCAACCTAAAAAAAAATAATGGTGAGCGAAAATCGGAAGCCCCGGGCTTCCGAACGGAAGTGGCTCTACAACATTGGAGAATGATCAGACGGGGGGGGGGGTAAAGGGATTGCAAATGCCTCGTCTGAACGCACCCTATCAATGTTACACTCCCTATTTCCCCACCCCCCAACCCTCTCACCAGTTGACAGGCTCAGACAACCTTATTGATCAAACAAGAAGGAGGTGTGGGGTAAAGTGGATGGAGAGGATTTCCTTCCCTTCTCTTGTACTGCTAGAGTTAGGTGTCACCCCATGACATCGATGCAGGACAGACCAAAGCCAGTTCTTCACCCACTGAACTCCCGTTTCCTGATTCCTGGGAGCTGGTGAATTTAAGTCAGCGGTGGGGCCTCTGCCAACCCTTTGGCATCGAGAGCACTGGAGGTAGGAGAGACCCCAAACCTGAGAATGGAAACTTCAGCATGTACACCCAGAGGGCAAAACAGGGACAAAGAATTCCCGGGGACAGTTGCCAAAGGACAGGGACAACTGGGATTGTGGCCTTGCCTTACTCACCTTGGCCTGCAGGGGGCAGCAACCACTGGGAGGCCCACTCCTCCAGGCAGAGCTTGGTCCCTCCCTTCCGCCTGATGCCTGAGCCTCTTCTCTCCTCTTCTCTCCCACTGCCCTTAGGATGTGAGTGCCAAGAAAAGCTTGAAGTTCCCTGAGCTCTACAAGGCCGGTCAGAAAGACCTGCTCTTCAACTTCCGGACCTTCTGCCTCGCCTTCATCCAGGGCTCTTTCGTCTCCCTGGCCACCTTCTACATTGCCCTCTGGGCCTATGAAGACAAAGCCGGCGTCAGGATCGTTGGGGATTACCAGTCCTTTGCCATGATAATAGCAACCTCGGCCATAATGACTGTCACGGTGGAGGTAGGTCTTGGGGAGGGGGGCCTGAGTGCCATCAGCACTGGTGTGCAAACTGCCCGCTTGCAGCAGGCGAACTGCCCCCCACCCTCAATTGCCCCTGCTCCATCTATTGAGAGACAGGAAATGACATTGCAGGACCTGTGATGTCACCGTGTCCATGAAGCTCTAGGAATCTTCCCCCAAACTCTGTGGTCTTTACCATGGAGATTGGGGAAATACCTAGAGTGTCATGCATGCTGGGGCATTTCTTCTGGCCCATCACCTGGAAGTGATATCACAGCATCCATGATGCTGCTTCTACCCAGGCACTGCCCCAGAAAGCTCCTGGGACTCACGGGTATGGGGCCGGCACCCCTACTTGGACCTCGTGGATTATTTCAAATTGTATTCAGATTTGAACACTTCCATGAAACTTTGAAGTCTTCTACGAAATGTATCTCCAATTTTTAAAAACTTTGTTTTCCTGTGCAGGGAATGTGGGCTACTTTGGTAAGGTAGTGTGGCGCAGTGGTTAGAGTGTTAGATAAGGAGACTCAGGTTCGATTCCCTGCTCTGCCATGGAAGGTCATTGGGTGACTTTGGGTCAGCCACTCTCTTTCAGCAGCCCGACCTGCCAGATCATTGTGAGGATAAAATGGAGGGGAGGAAAACAAAGAAGACACCTTGGGTACTCCCTCTAAGCTGTGGAGTCTTGTGAGCCAAAATTCTACTTGGTGAGCTCCTGGCGTTAAAGTTGTGAGCGATCGATTTGGCTGCTGCATAACTTGTCTGCTCTGTAGCCCTCCTTCCTGTGCTAAGACAAAAATGTGTGAGCCGGAGGCTAAAAAACTGTGAGCTGGCTCACACTAACTCAGCTTAGAGGGAACACTGGGGGTCCATTAGGGAGAAAGGCAGGGTATAAATGAAGGAAATTTGAAAATAAATAAATAAATGGGGTGCCTCCCATGAAGGAGAGAGGCTGTAGCTCAGTGGTGCAACCCCAGCTTTGCATGCAAAAGGCCCCCCCCCCCAATTTAATCCCTGGAGTCTCTAGCTAGGGGCTCTCAGGTAGCAGATGTCAAAAGGGCTGTGGCTCGGAGGTAGAGCATCTGCCTGGCACGCAGGAGTTCCCAGGTTCAATCAGTGGCAGCCCCAGTTAAAAGCACCGGACAGCAGATGATGTGACAGACCCAGGAGAGCCACTTGCCAGTCTGAGTACATACTATTGACCTTTATGGACTGATGGTCCAGAAAGGCAGCTTCATGCATTCAGGTGTTCAAGGAAGACCCTGGAGAACCACAGTCAGTTGGAATAGGAAATACTGAGCTAGATGGACCTGTTCTGTCATGCACTGGTGATTGTGCCAATCTGATGCCCCGTTTAGGAGGGAGCATGGCTCAGTAGTGGCACACCAGTAGGGTTGCCAGACACACACACCCCCGTGGAGGCAGGGGTTCCCCACTGCCAGGCCCTACAGCCCTGCAGGCATGTGACCAGAGGTCATTTCCTGTAGGAGCGCACAGGTGCGGAGCTCCGGCAGTAAAGAGCCCAGGGGGCGGGCACATGCAACAAGCCCCGCCCCCTGCTCCCAACAGCCCTCAGTCAGAGCAAGAAGCAGCCAGGTAAGCTGCAGAGCCCCCCCCCTGGCCCCCCGGTCCAAAACAGTCCAGTGGCACCTTTAAGACCACGTTTTATTCAGGTACGAGCTCTCCCTCCTCTGTGAGGACAGATCTGCATATTCCCCCCACCCCCAATAGCTACCAATCCAAAACAGTCCAGTGGCACCTTTAAGACCAAGTTTTATTCAGGTACAAGCTCTCCCTCCTCTGCAAGGGCAGATCTGCACGTGCCCCACCATAGCTAGCAATCCAAAACAGTCCAGTGGAGCCTGAGCGGTGGGTGTTGCCTTCCGACACACTTCCGGTGATGTCAGGGGGTGTGGCATATGCAAATGAGATATGCTAATGAGTTATGCCAATGAGCTCCTGCACCTCTTTTTCTACAAAATGACCCCTGCATGTGACACTTCGGATGTATGCATACAGAACGAACCTGGCATACGAGCACCTGTGCCGTAGGGCTGCCAGCCTCCAGATGGGTCCTGGAGATGTCCCAGAATTGCAACCGATCTCCAGACCACAGAGATCAGCCCCCCTGGTGAAAATGACTGCTTTGTAGGGCGGGCTTTATGGGATTATACTCCGAGGTCTCCTCCTTCCCCAAACCCTGCCCTTCCCAGGCTCCACTCCTAGGGTTGCCAAGTCTCTTATCTGCAATAGCAGGGAGGTCCTGGTCCCGGAGTTTCACATTTACGTCGCCCGGAAGCGACATCATCACGCTGGGCACGTCGCAGGGTGACGCTCTAGCAATCGCCCTAAAAACTCTATGGTACCATAGAGTTTTTAGGGCGATTGCTAGAGCGTCACCCTGCGACGTGCCCAGTGTGATTACGTCACTTCTGGGCGATGTCATCGAGCTGGGCACGTCAGCCTGATCCGGCCACTTCGGGGGTGGGGTTCCCCCTGCCCGCCAGATCCAGACCGGTGGATTGGGGGCCCTTTCAGTGGGGGAATCCCCGCCCCGGTCTTGGCAGCCCTATCCACTCCCTACGTATCCAGGAACAGGTCCGTGGCTAGGATTTTGTGGGTTGCGGGGCAGGTTTTTTTCTGGTGGGGCTGAAGTTCTCAGTGCAGAATGAAAAACCGAATAATCTGAGGATTATGACTCAGCTAGTGTGGAACCAAGCCTTTTAAAATCGACGCAGAGAGACGTCTGCAGATCTTAGCCCCAGAGTGTGACAATAGCAGGCTGAGAAGGGGGGGGGGGGGGGAGAATAAATTTTCTGGTAGATTGTAGGTGTGTCACTGGAAATACTTAACTGGGTTTGGCCAGTAAACTCACTCCCATTTGTATAAAAACACATAAAACTTTATTTACAAAAACAAAGGACAAACAATACATAGATAGGGGAAAGACTGTATACAGCTGAGCAAGGAATAGAAACCAAAATAGGAAATCCAGGAGGCTATTCTACTCACTACTTTTTCTATCAGGCATGTAGCTCTGGCATCTCAACTGGCGTTCCTTGAGCTCAGTCTCTGAAAGCATAACAGCAGGGTAGAAGTCGAAGAGAGTTTCGAGGCAGTTCCTTCTCTCTCTGAGTCCTCTCAAGCTGCCTATTCTACGTAGGTGTTCTTAACCATTTAGCCAATAGAAAACTGTTACCAGGATAGATCTCTAAGTTGCAAGCTGTCAACCACTTTAGATGACAGTTCTCAGCGGCTGCAAGTAAATCACTTCTTCCAGCCTAAGCAACAATTCTGATAACAAGCCGGCAGGTGGTGGTGATGACTTCTATAGTCAAGAATGTTAACACTTAGGCAGAAAAACTCTTAAAGGAGACCAGTTTCTTGACACAGAGTTAGAAGGGATCCTAGAGGTCACCTACTCCAACCCCCTTGCTCAGTGCAGGAATTAGTCAACTATAGCACCCCACTCTGCTTAAAGGAGCATGCACCTTTTTAAATGATGGGGGGGCAGCATTTACAGGAGAAATTCTTTAAGAAAAGCCCCACCGTAGCTGAGCTATGTAGCTACTAACCTTTCCAGTAATTTCCCAACCGAGAGCTGGCAACCCTAGGGAACAGACAAATTGTTTATCTAAACCAGCACCCTCATTCACACAGTGGCCAGCCATAGGCCTACAAGCAGGGCCCAGAGGCCCAGAGATGTAATCTGTTGCTGGATTTCAGAGGGTTACTGCCTCTAAACATAGAGGTTCCACTCGGTTGCTGTGGCTGATAGCCATTGATGGACATGAGTTCCTTGGAAAATGTGTCCACTCCCCCCTTGAGAGCCAACTTCTGTCCTTGCCTGGCCAACAGAGCGCGAAAGGCTTATGCTGTACCTGACTAAAGGCCACCCAAAGGAAACCATGCAGGTATCATGGGCAAGGGGGTGTGCCAAGTGGTTCTTCACCGCTCTTCTTCTCTTCTCCCCATCTCCCTGGGTAGATCATCCTGGATGTCAAATTCTGGACCGTCTTCTCCATCCTGGCCATCTTCCTCAGCTTAATTCTCTACTGCCTTTGTTCCTACCTCACTCAGAGTTTCCAGGCTTACGAGACGGCCCCCACCGTGTTCCAGTTCCCCGGTAAGAGGCCTCCTCCTCAGTTGGAAGTTCTTCTTGCCTTTTCCTTTGCATGGAGGAGGAAAGGTCACAGTTTGGGTCTGGCTTTCTGTAAGCTGTGAGGCTGTCGAGCCCCATGGGAAAGGGTCACTTCCCCAAACACGACAGGGAACTGCCTGCGTGCCCTGCCCCTTCCGGTTGAAGGAGGAGGGGTCCAGTGAGACTGCCTTTTCCTAATTAGGTTTCCCTTGCTCGAAAGCCAGTCAAATCCGACTCTAGGGTTGTGGTGCTCATCTCCGTTTCCAAGCTGAAGAGCCAGCCCTGTCCGAAGACGTTTCCGTGGTCATGTGGCCAGCATGACTAAATGCCAAGGCGCACAGAACGCTGTTACCTAATTTGTTGTTGTTGTTCAGTCGCACAGTCGAGTCCGACTCTTTGCGACCCCATGGACCAGATCACACCAGGCCTTCCTGTCTTCCGCCATCCTCTGAAGTTGGCTCAATTACCTAATTACCTCTCACCAAATCCCAGAGTCAGCTGTAGCTGCGATCTTGCGTACGGCAGTTGCACAGGTCCTTACCGAGATGAATGAGATTTTGTGATGCATAGGAAAGGCACCGCAGGTCTTGAACACAGATCCCTGGGAAGCAGGGCCCGGCGCCATCATAGCCATACACCAGCCGAGGAGTCTGGATCTGATGTGAGCCACTGAACTGGCCTCCAAGTGGCCATTCCAGGAACTGCAGCCTAGGCCAGGCCAGCAGGAGCATGTGACTCGGGGAGCCAATTAGAGCAGGGCTGAGACTACCAAAACTCTGCTCCAAAATCCAAGTGGTTTGTCTACAGTTTGTCTATGCCCATACAATCCATCATGTTTGTCGTGTGGTAGCGGTACAGATGATTTCATACCCCCAACCTTCCTGCCAATTGCCGGCAATGTTCCCACTAAGCTGTCGGGTCTTGTGAGCAAGAATTCCACTTGGTGAGCTACTGGCCTTAAAGTTGTGAGCGAGCGGTTTGGCTACTGCATAAATTAGTTTGCTCTGGAGCCCTCCTTCCTGAGCTGAGACAAAAATGTGTGAGCCGGAGGCTAAAAAACTGTGAGCTGGCTCACACTGACTCAGCTTAGAGGGAACACTGGTTGCCGGGCACAACCTGGTCGCTCTAGGGACAAAGGGCATGCAGTATCACATGCCTAATTTGTATGGTGCTCTTCTCGGGTGGATCTAAAAGTCCGCAAAGTGGGGGCACCCAGGGAAGAAGTTTGCATTTCGGTGAACCCACTCTTTGCAGAAAAAAAATGTAAAAAGTGTATCTTTATATGAGACAACCAGGGCTCTTTTTGTAGCAGGAACTCCTTTGCATATCAGGCGACACCCCCCCTAATGTAGCCAATCCTCCAAGAGCTTACAGAGCTCTTCTTACAGGGGCTACTGTAAGCTCTTGGAAGATTGGCTACATTAGGGGTGTGTACCTCCCCCCTGCCCCCAGAGAACTGGATTCAAAATGAGGAAAAGCTCAGGACTGGTGCATAGGGGTCAACGCATAGTGGAAGGGTTGGGGAGGAGAGAGGGAAGGGAAGTGCATGGGATGGAACGGTTGGTGGGGAGGAAGCTGGTTGACCAGGAAAGTATGTGTGTGGGGGGGAATGTGTGACCAGGAGAGTTGAGCAGAGGGGGCATATCAAGAGGGGAGGTGGTGGGGCCAGCGAGGTGGGAAAGGATTTCCATCCCACCCGAGTCCCTCAGTGCTTCCCCACTTCCAGTCGCTTATTATTGGATCTAAGCTACCTCCAACCTTTGCTTTTATGCAGATGCCTCTAAGAATGCACTGACGGACCCAACGGCTCTGCTCGTTGTCTTGCTCTCTGTCACTGTCAGCATCCTCCCCTCCCTTGCCATCCGCTTTCTGCGCAGCATCACCGTCCTGAGAACCATGTCGGAGGTAAGCCCTGTTCTCGTGATGGCCATCGAGCAGCTACGGAGGGGCTGTGTACTGAAGAGCCCTTGCGGGGGGGAGCCTTTGGTGGAGCCTGTTGGGAAAGTAGTCTAGAGGACAGGAGAAGCCTTGGGGGTTTTGTTTGCACCCAGCAGTGCAAGGAAAGGGCTGGTTAGAACGTCCCCTGCTTTGTGAGGAGTGGATGTCAGGGGTGAAAGAAAAAAATCACTAGTATAGTAAGCCAGTAATCTGTATCCTATTGTAGTGGAATGCTTCTCTTTGTTCTACGTGTGCTAGCAAATTTACAGCGTTACACAGAGCCACCTGTCAGTTTCAAACTAATAAGGAGTTCTTTATTTAGGGAGCTCCATTCTAGATCGTACTGGTGAGAGATAGGGTTAGAATCTAATCTAACTAGCTAGGATGGATGCAGATGCAAAGATCTTTCTGTCTTTCTGTCTGTCTGTCTGTCTGTCTGTCTGTCTGTCTGTCTGTCTGTCTGTCTGTCTGTCTGTCTGTCTGTCTGTCTATCTAACTAGCTAGGATGGATGCAGATGCAAAGATCTTTCTGTCTTTCTGTCTGTCTGTCTGTCTGTCTGTCTGTCTGTCTGTCTGTCTATCTATCTATCTATCTATCTATCTATCTATCTATCTATCTATCTATCTATCATCTTTCCGATTTATACC